GCCCAGACCACCTCGCCGCTCGGCGCGCTTCCTCCGGCTTCCGCGCAGCTGGGGCAGAAGTCATCCTTCGGGTTGATACGTTTCCTGTCTCTCTAAATGTCTTGCCCTCGGAAGAGTAAACCGGGTGGGGGTGGTGGTTAGGGGAGCAAACACGTCGCTCGTGTTCACTATTCTCTCTCCTAGGACTAGGGTAGCGCCCTGCCTAGAATACTGAAGTGCGCAATAAATACTTATTGAGAGAGCGAAAGAATGAATGAATGAATGAGTAGAGATTTTTGCCTCTCTCCACCCAAATAGGCTTTTAAGCTTCAAGATATCGTGACCCGGATTTGTTTTTTGTAAATTACACACAGAGACGTGCGCGCAGCTTTGCATGAATAAATGAGATTCACAATTTCCCACTTCAGACCAACACCAAAGCCGCAAGAGGCCCCTAGCTAAATGTTTTGGGGGACTTTTTTAGTCAAATAGACTTAGGTTTTACATTCAGAACTAAAACAGTGGGAAATATCGGGAAAGAGGATATTCTTGGGCACAGCTACCTCTGTAAATGTCTTGCCCTCGGAAGAGTAAACCGGGTGGGGGGAGAAAGAGGATATTCTTGGGCACAGCTACCTCATCTGTAAGTTAAGACTAATAAAATCTACTTCATAGGGTTATTGTTAATCTGTAAATTAAGACTAATAAAATCTACTTCATAGGGTTATTGTGAGGATTAATTGAAATCATGCCTTGTATGTAAGGCACTTTACACACACATAAACACATCCATGTATACTGCAGTATCTAAATGGTAGCTGTTGTTAGTATGTTGCTAATCTAGGAGGTAATAAAAACTGTAAGCAAAATGTAAAATAAAGGCTACCTACCATTTTACCTAAGGACAACTATAATACCTTTGTAGATGTGGTATTGTCACCTGCCCAACAGGGCCAGACCTGGGAGCAAGGCCTCTCCAGTCCTTCCCCTACCACCCCCAAGAATTAACTGCTCTTTGTTTTCATAAGAACTGTAGAACTGGCTCTCACGCAAGTTTTCCACCTGGATTTCAGTGGCCAGTCTCTCGACGTGTTTATTTTTTTTGCGTAGGCAGTGAACAGTTTGGGACCACTGCTGGCTACTGCCTCTTAACATTTCTTCTTGCCTCTCCCTCAAGGCCATCTTTTCACTTCTGAGTCTCCTCCTTGCTCCACAGGTAAAGTGGCATCAGGTGGCACTGGGCTAGGATCCCAGCCAGCCCACCTTGGGCTTTCTGCACCTCAGTTCTTTCAGTCGTAAACTGTGGAGAACAACGCTTATCTGTGGCGTTGAGAGATAATTGGTAGTCCAGTCTGTGAGTGATGTCCTTAGAACATATATGTGTTTAATTAAAGGCAACTATTGATTAGTTTATTTAAGAAGCATTTAGGGCACATCTCCTGAGCATTTAGGTGCTGAGAGAATAAAGGAAACACCCAGATGAGTTAAGATTCCTATCCTCAAAGCAGTTTGAGGTCTAGTGGATGAGACAGGTGTGTACATACCAGGGCAGAGGGATTGGGGGTGCATAGATGCTGCTAAATATGAAATTAGCAATCTTCAAGTTCCAAACTGGGGCAGTAGAGCAGTGTGAATTGCTTTACTTTATTATAATTGTAAATGCCATTTTCCTCTAAATATTATGTACATAACTTTCTAAGGCCACTGCTAAAAATGAATAATCTTGAGGCAAGCAGAGCCATTTGATGTAGGATTCAGTCCCTTAATAAGGTGACTTCAAATGCTTCCTTATTATTATTATTATTATTACTAGTAATAATATGTATATTGTGCCTTTGCAAAAGCACTATCATTTATAAGTTAAAGTTGCATAATCTTGTAATCCATGTCTGAGAAGGAAAGGTCACATATTGTTATACTAATGGCCTCAGATGAATCATATCTCAGTATCCATGCCTTTAGTATAGCTCCCTCCCATATTGACCCTGGGCTTGGCTATGTGAAATGTTTTGGCCACTGGGACATCAGCAAATATGGCAAAAGGAGGGACTGTTGATGAGCACTTGTGCAGTGCTCCTTGCTCTCTTGGAGCTCAGTAAATAAAGAAACTTGGTCTAACCGCCTTGAAGATAAAAGACCCTAGACAGAGAGAGCCTTGCCATCCTAGCTGCAGCAGCCCCCAGCCAACCCACCAGCTGAATGCAACCATATGAGTGAACCCAGGCAAGACCAGCCAAAAAAAGACTCAGCCAACCCAAGATTCGTGAGAAATAAAGAGGTTTTTGTTTTAAGATACTAAGTTTTGGGTGGTTTGTTATACAGAAAAAGATAACTGTTACATGCATCACATACAGGCATTTCGACTATTACAAGGTCTTGGTAAAATTCACCCAAGAGTCAACACTCTCATTAGTATTTTCTGTCAGAAAGTGTTCAACTGAAGTCACTATGTCTCAGCTTAGCAGAGTATCACATATTACGGAATACCTTCTATCAAAGTTCTTCATTAAATTGGTTGCTGAGCCTAGTATTGTTTAAAATCCTTTGGCAACAAACATGACAATGAGCTGGCAATACTGGTTTGTAAGCTTCTTGAAATATAAGTTGTTGAAACAACAGTTGTTATAGAGATTGGATATGTTTATCACTGCCATTTTTTCATGAACTTTTCATGATGGACACATTGTCCAATTGGACAAGGTTTCACCATAAATATGAAACATCAGATAAGGAAGGGAAGTTAGAGATCAGCAAACCATCGCATCACTTTATAGATGAGGGAACTGGAGCTAAGAGAGATTAGAAGACCCTGACAAATTCCTAGGGTCCTGGAGCCTTCTCAGAGCAGAACTGGAGTGACCAATTCAAAGTTCTTTACATTGTTCATTGGATTGTTCTGTTTTGTGTGACATTTGTTGCTGCTAAAAATATCTTCCCGTGCTCAAAATATCTTTACAACTTTCCTTTACATTTAACATAAAATCCGAAGACAATCTGGCCCCATGAGGCCTGATGCAGTTTGTTCCTCCAGAGCCATTGGCTCTGCTCTACTCCTCATTCAGCACAAAGCCCACTCCAGTTTTTTTCTGTTCCTGTGTAACTCCACTCAAGATTCCAAGCCTTGAAAGAACGTCAGCTTGACCTAGCTTGGTTACATGCCCAACCCCAGCCTGAGAAGAATAGAACTCCTTGAATGCAAGCCCCCAAAGATAATCATTAGGGCACTGTAATCAGAAGAGAAAATGGATCTAAGGTGACCAAACCAATGAATGTCCACTACATTATCCCTCAGGCCTTAGCTTTCTCAAAGAAGCTTTTCTAAAGCACTTCATCTGTTATGACATTGTTTTTCCCTGTTCTTATCATATTTTATAATTACATGTTTATTTGTTTGTTTCTCTCATTTTCTCCCTGCATGAGAGTGGGCTAGTGTTTGTTTGCCCACTACTATATCCTTGTCTTTTGGCATAGAAACTCATGCATAATCGACTCTCAGTAAATATTTACTGAGTGAATGAAAAAAATGAATGAATGACAAAGACTTCATGACTCTTCTGACTCATCCATATGACATTAGCTTTGTAGAAACGGGCTAGAAAAGACACAAAGAATATAAATATAGGTTTGCGGAAGAGACACTATGCTGAATCTCTGTGTGACACTGTGCAAAGGACCAGGACTCGCACTCAGGATAAAAACTGCCTCGTACGTCAGACATGTACCATGTGCTGTGCTGCGCTGTGCAGGTCTTGAGGGGTAAATTATAAAAGTATTTAATCAGTGAAGCAAAGGGGGAGGTTGAGAATGGTGAAGGCCGGGTGCCTCAGAGCACTTGCTGAAGTAGAATCCCTCAAAACTGAAACCAGGTTCATGGCTTGACTGTAGCTGCAAGGCGTAGAGATCAACGGCATCTGTTCATAAACCTTTCCCTTGG